ACACACTTAGAACTCTCCAAATCATGTTGACAGCACAACAACACAATTAAGGGAAAATAAGGGAATAACTTACTTTTCCTCACAGATATTGACACAATAGGTAAGGAGGATCCATGAAGATGATGTCCAGGCTGCTCCATGTGTCTCAAAGACTGACTGTATGCTACACCTGCTCCAGTCATCTGATAGAAGGAAGCCAAGGGATGTATGATGAATCCTTCCAGACAGTTCCCCAACCCTGGTATTCTGCCTGGTTATTAATAATGATCAATACACTCGGCAACCCTCGATTTGTCCTGGGTTTTTACCTGTAGCACTGGTAGTTGTAGCTTAGCTCTCAATGTGTGTAGCATGTGGATAGTAGCAGAATGCTAACGGCGTTATCCTGCTTTAGGCTGTCAGCAGGTGGCGCTATCGTTGTACCCGAAGCTTCACACTAACATTTTTTGTTTACTTTCAGTTTAAATGATTATTTATTTGAAATGATTGAGCAGGATTTAGTAACAAATATTTAAGTTGTAATTGAGCAGTCAAAAATGTGTGGTGCTGATGGGGCAAAATAGTTTATTTTGTATTTTCTTAATTAATTGCAATGAAGATCCTTGAAAAGTGATATCCTATAACGAATGTGTTGTCATTTCAATGTGACTAAACCAGTATCCCCTCGGACAGTGATATAGGCCTATAGGTTCTGCTGCAACTTTCCAAGAGCACTCTGCAGTTTAAAATATGTTCATGCATTAGTGGAGAGTACTTTTCTTAACATATGAAATGACAATAAAACAAACCCATTTTAAAGGCAATCAGGAAGGCAAAATAAGATCAATTCAGCTTTTTCCCACAAGTCCATTATGCCCAAGCTTTCCCTCTCTTTGGCTCGTCAGAAATGCAGAGCTGCTCCGACTCCGAAGTCACATTAAATTGCAATAATTGTAGAATCTCCCAGGTGACTGGCACTGCAGAGGAAGCACTCTCAGTGTTATCCCAGCCCACATCCTGTTGTGATAGTGTTTCAGAGCCTGGCAGGGACAACTCACCCGTGGCTCAAGGGTGGAGAGGAGAGGGCAGTGGTGAAGAAGCTAAACTATAAGCCTGAGCTTTGAGGTTGTTATTAAAATAACAATAACTATTTTTTTCTTTTTTTGTTAATGATCTGTCTATAACATATGTAGGCTACATCCTTTTTATCATAAATAGCATTAATGGTTTAGTTCACATTATGTAGAATTGTCTAAATCTACTGATGGCATGCTTTCTCGATTCCCTAAAGGATGACATTTTCAGCTTTAAACCTGTTGTGTTGATTTCAGGTTTTTTGTATAAATGATCTATAAAAGGATAACAGCAGGAATGCAGTTATCGCATTCAACCAAAATATGTATGACTCCAATTTACATATTTTTCTGTCCTTTTCACTTACACAAACTCATTGTTACGGTCATAAGCATGCTCCCACAACATTAGCTGTTTGGAGCTGATCACTCTCTTCATCCTTGCCTCTGCATGGCACATACTGTAGTTAGACTAAAGTACAAAAATAATTGTTTTCCATTTATTTTGATAAAAAAGTGCAACAGGTAATTCGGTGATGAACCTATATTCTCAATATATTTTCTTGTCAATATCCGCATCCAGCTACACAAATAAATAAATAAATAGTAGGTAAATGATCAGCATGCAAATGTTTGTTTTAGCATGAACAAAAAAGCATGTTCTGGATTCAATAATGTAAACAATATTTCTATGCTTTTATAGTGTAAAAAACCGACTCTCAGTCTGCCTTTTATTCAGTGGACAGAGGAACCCTGCAGGCAAGCCCTCCAGCTAATGACCTCAGATTTAAGAACCGTGACCCTAATGATTCACTAATGCAGTCTCTGCACCGAGTATAACATTACTACTCTCACTCATTGTGTAAAATAGCTAATATAATACAGTGCAGAGAGTACTTTGGCCATGCAGACAGACATATCAGGTTGATGCTACAGCGAAGGGGGTTGGAGACATAAGACTGAAGCTAACGCTGCAATATGCTGGTTCAACAATGAGAAATACAATTAATTTGCACATAGTTCATTATTACAAGATGCAATTAAAAGGCATTTAAACGTGTGAGAGAGAGTACCACACAGGCTTCAAAGCATGTGATATATTTAAATATAAGTAACCTAGACTCAATTAAAAATAACTTACATTAATGCTTGTTTTCCCAATAATGCTTAAACACTATAAAATGACACGTTTCTGAAAACAAACTGTGTGTATGAAGACATTTTGTAGCAACCCAAGTTGTCACAGAAATGTTTTGTGTGTCATTATTGTCAAGATAAATAAGTAGTGTAAAAGTAATGGAAATGTATATTTCATTGAATTTAGGTCCAAAGCCTTTGGATTTCGATTCAAATTCTATCTGGAAAATAATGGAAAGTAGATTAGCAGTTGATGCTGCTGCTGTGATAACAGTAATGATAGCGGTTGTAATTGAAAACTGGGTATTCTAAGCAGCATCACATCACTCTCCTCGCAGTGGACGAAACCCAGGGGAACAGACAAATGGGAAATATGGGAAACAAGTGCTTCATGTGAAGGCAAATCAGATTGTCGTCACTGTCCATTTCACTCAGTCTCCTAACCCAACACCAAGCCATCAGCCCCCAATGCCCCCTCCAGATGATGCACGCACATACAGAGTTACAGCAACACCTACTGGTAGTCATAGATAAATGCAAATAGATAATTTCCTCAGCTCTGATAAGGTGATGTATTCATAGGAACACTTGTCACAACTGAAATGAAATGCATTTCATCTCTGTCTTGTTGAGTTTTCCTTTACAGTCTCTTTTTTCTTTTGCTGTTCATGCCCATTGTTAGAATCATCCTATATAAGATAATACAGACTTTGACAGCTGCAAGGGAACAAATACACATGGCTCTATGCTAATTAAATATATATAAAAGAAAAAAAGGAAATCCAAGAAACATTATTTTTAGATCACAAAATAACTGTACATGGGCTATAAATGAATTTATTACAGCATGATATCTAATCAAATAACAGACTTTTACTTCTTTCTAATATCGAATAATATAAATAAGGATCATTATAACTAAACTAACGCTAAATTAGATTGAGTATAGAGATTAAAGACTAGAGTCAAATGTATACATGTATATATGAAAACATATAATATGTCTATCTAATCAAACATCTTGGACAGTGATAATTGATATAACAAACACACATTGGTTGATATTATGTACCGGATCTGAATATAATAATAAATCATTATGGCATCAGTGATTTTGTTTGCATCTGTGTAGTCTACCGCTGGTTTTGACTAATCTAACGCCTCATCTAATCAGCAGTAGATGAGAATGTGCAACAAACACTCATTCCTGTAATAAAGATGATGAGCATCAATCTGTTTTCACAAGTGCGCCCCTCTTCAGTTTTCAAGATCAATTAGCATCACATGTGCAGGGATGGTGGCGTATTATTTCCTTCTGCTGGGAATGAGCTTGTGGCTGACACTGAAGACTGAGCTGCGGTCACAATCTCACATCAAGACATTGTCTTGAATATACCAGGGATCTGACAGGCTAAGATTATTTAAGCAAATATCATAGCACTTAACGACAGTGAATAGAATATTTTTCCACATTGTAAGCACAGTGAACTTGCAGAAACAGAACAAGAGAAACAATCTGAAAATGATTCATGTATTCATGCACTGTTATTTACAAATTAAATGGAAAGAGTATCTTTGCACTTGTCCTTAGATGTACTGTATTCAAAATATGTTTCGTGAACATCTTAAATGTAATGTCTGAACATTGAGGATACTCTGCATCATAAAAGTAAACCAGAAGATTAAGGATTGAAGAAAAAAAAGCCAATCCTCATTGTTCTGTTGGAGTATTATTACTACCAGGCGGTGCAGACAATTATCTTTTAATTTGGCTGGTTAGGATAATAAATTGAAAGTCTGTGTAGATTATTGATTCACATTAGGTTCTCTGTGCTCTTAATAGGCATATCATTACATTTTCTACAGTGTCCTACACCTCTGCACCTCATTTTACTTTTAAATTATTTGATTATATCACATCCCTTGTTTCCCTTAAAGTGCACCTCTTTGGGCATTTGGCAGGAAATTGGATTGAAATGAGCATATGCTGTAACACAAGATGAGGCCTACACATCAGGTTCTCATTATGCCTTGTATAATGTACTTTCAAAAGTGCAAAGAGGATACAAAAGAAAAACAATTTACTATCCATTTGCATGAAGACATATGCAGTTCATGTGTGAACATTAGATTGTCCTATTCACTTCAATACAAAAAGCCAAGAGAGTGAAGAGACCTACCTTTAAAATGACACTGTCATGTTTTGCATTCATTATCAGGCTACTGCTATCTCAAAAAGCACAGAGGATGTCAAGGAAAGAAAGAAAGTAGAGACAGAAGCGGATTCTTTCTGTATCTGTAGCGCACATAAACATTTTATTTGACACATTTGCCATTTAAATGCTCATCATCCTCTGAAGTTAATGAGTTGTATGCAATAATGGTGTCTGTTGGATCAGACTTGAGGCCTGAATCCAGAGGATTAAGCTGAACAAGGGCCACTAAATGCAAACAAGCAACACAAGATGCATCTTATTGGTCATTGGGTAATTTTCTTATTTTTTAGCAACTTAGTGCTGTCCTATAATTGTATTTTTTGTCTATAATTATGTTCATGTTATGTACCTAAATGTGTATCATTTTCACTTAATTTGTTTGCCTTGGGTTAGGCCCTGTACATTCTATGCGTAAAATGTGCTTAAATGTGTCACACAGCCCCAGGCCAGCAGAGGGGCAACGGCACCCTGCAGATCCTCCTCTCGGTTTCACTTCAGCTCAAAACTTTGATTGTAGTTTGGAAGGGGGCGGATACCTTCCTGTCCCCTTCAACCAATAAGCGGAACTTGTCAGTGATGCAAAGTGTGTGCGATAAGTGTCGGCTGATAAACTGGCTGTCAATTAGCGGGGAACTTTCACCGGTGAGCAGCTACACGCAGCACAAGGTAACTAAGTGAGCAGTTTTTGTGGGTAAATCCAATTGAATGCAGTTTCCTCATGTTTGTTGACATTAATTAAACCTAGTTGATACGCTCGGTGGTGGTTCATGGTGTGGTCGCTCCTTAATTAATGAGTTTAACTAAATGTGACCTATTTTGCCTTTTTCAGTTGTTGAGAAGATAAACGATGGAGTGGCGCCAGCAGACCAGTGTCAGCTGTGCAGACGCCTTCAACGAGGCTCAACGCTGGATTCAGGTAGGCTACATGCTTCACTTTCATCTGTGTTTTCATTTTGTATGTTTGCTCATTTACTTATCCCTGTGCAAACAACCATGCAGAGTTGTCCTGTCAGCAGTTAAACCCAACAAGACAGGACATGTTTTACAAATTTCAGTGGCAGACGTTTCCACCTAAATAGATTTGTTTGTATCATAAGTAGCCTACTTAAACTCTCTAAAACACTTGATGTATGTACTCCTGTTTAAAACTGCATTTACAAACATATCTTTGAGTTCAAATGCAAAATAGGAGATACCTTGATAAGACTCAGGTAAGAGTTTCCCTCCTGACATAGAAAGCCCTATGAGACAATCTTCTAAAAATGTATTTGACTAGACTCTAGTCAAATAAATTGTTATCTGTGAAACCACTCTGAGTCCTCCAGTCACTAGAGGACTCGTAGAGCCTCAGGAAAATGCATATGGAAGGCATGCAAATAATTAGATTTTTTATTTTAAAGAAAAGCAATACACTGAGGTTTGTTATTCAGTGTGTCCACTGATATGTGGAGTAGGCAGGTTTCTTCATGCACACATTTTGAAGGATGTGGTTTGTATAGCAATGAATTTACTTTCTTGCTATATGTTGCTCATGTCCAAACATTGTTCAAGTTGTTGTTTTTTAACTCATAAACAATACATTCAACTTGTCAACTGTGGGCACTCAATGTTGACCAACTCTAAATGGGACCATTGATGTCAGTTGTGTCTGAGTGGATCATTGTGTGTGTGTGTGTGTGTGTGTGTGTGTCTAACTGCAATCTTCCTTTAAATTACCTCCGACTGCAACATTGAAAATATTTATAGCAAACTATTTGCTAAATTAAATGCTTTGTCTTTAAAAAATATCCTAATAGTGAAAATGTTCTGTAATAATAGGAGCCCTACTGTAGGGCCCATCCTCAAATGTATTTCTTATCAGATCAAAAGCCCAATATCCAAATATTCAGTTTACTTTCTTGTAAGACACCGACGAACGTTTATAGACGTCATGTCAGAACTACTGTAGATAACATTGATTCAGTACCGAAGCCTGTATTTCAATCTCGGTATAGAGTGTTTGATTTTAGAATTCCCTTTTTCAAAAGATGAATCTTCAATTCACACCAAAAAAACTAAAACAATTCAATCTGTGGATTCACAGGGACAGTTGTTTATTGGAATAACCAATTGAAAGTGTTTGTGCTGTAGAACTGACCAAAGCCTGACCACATTATTGTGTTTTATGGTGTTAACCTGGGACTGCATCGTCTGTTTCCTCTGAGAATCCTGCGCTCCGTGACCGATACCCAGTTCTACTGGAAATGAATTGTTATTGTGGAGTCCTGGGGGGACTAATTAGTGAGAAGAATAACCTTTTGGGGCCCTCTGTTAGTTATGTAGCCGAACCTTAATAGCCCCATTTGTATGTCCTCATTACAAAGCTCCCTAGGCCTTGTGCCTGCTTCTGCCATGTAAAATCATTTAGGTTTTGTTGTATTATTTGTTTTGATCAAAAAACATATTTGATGTTTTTTCTGTAGAAATGCTTGTCCACATACATTATTTTAATAGCTGTTTTGCTCTGTAGATATTTTGCGATGACTTGTTTGCTGGATGAATATTCAGCTGAATCTTAACAGTATCTCACTTAATTTATTTCTTTTTTCTTTTTCAGAAACTGGGAAATGCCTGCGCTTTGCACTTAATAATTCCTTTCAACCAGGACCTTGTTCTCTTCAATTCAACCAAAGTTGTTTTGGTTTTTTCAAAACAAGCCACTAAACAATGCATTTAAGCAGGAGTTCATAAAAGACAAACTTTTTCAATTAAAGTACTTATACATTTCAATACTACTTTATACTATGCGTACACCTTGTGTTAATACTAACGCAGTTTTGTGAAGCTAAAGGGACATTTACAGTGGGGCAAAAAAGTATTTAGTCAGCCACCAATTGTGCAAGTTCTCCCACTTAAAAAGATGAGAGGCCTGTAATTTCCATCCTAGGTATACCTCAACTATGAGAGACAAAATGAGAAGAGAGAAATCCAGAAAATCACTGTCTGATTTTTTTTAAAGAATTTATTTGCAAATTATGGTGGAAAATAAGTATTTGGTCAATAACAAAAGTTAATCTCAATACTTTGTTATATACCCTTTGTTGGCAATGACAGAGGTCAAACGTTTTCTGTAAGTCTTCACAAGGTTTTCACACACGGTTGCAGTGATGTTTTGGGGCTGTCGCTGGGCAACACAGACTTTCAACTCCCTCCAAAGATTTTCTATGGGGTTGAGATCTGGAGACTGGCTAGGCCACTCCAGGACCTTGAAATGCTTCTTACGAAGCCACTCCTTCATTGCCCGGGCGGTGTGTTTGGGATCATTGTCATGCTGAAAGACCCAGCCACGTTTCATCTTCAATGCCCTTGCTGATGGAAGGAGGTTGTCACTCAAAATCTCACGATACATGGCCCCATTCATTCTTTCCTTTACACGGATCAGTCGTCCTGGTCCCTTTGCAGAAAAACAGCCCCAAAGCATGATGTTTCCACCCCCATGTTTCACAGTAGGTATGGTGTTCTTTGGATGCAACTCAGCAAACACGTCTAGTTGAGTTTTTACCAAAAAGTTCTATTTTGGTTTCATCTGACCATATGACATTCTCCCAATCCTCTTCTGGATCATCTAAATGCTCTCTAGCAAACTTCAGACGGGCCTGGACATGTACTGGCTTAAGTAGGGGGACACGTCTGGCACTGCAGGATTTGAGTCCCTGGCGGCGTAGTGTGTTACTGATGGTAGCCTTTGTTACTTTGGTCCCAGATCTCTGCATGTCATTGACTAGGTCCCCCAGTGTGGTTCTGGGATTTTTGCTCACCGTTCTTGTGATCATTTTGACCCCACGGGGTGAGATCTTGCGTGGAGCCCCAGATCGAGGGAGATTATCAGTGGTCTTGTATGTCTTCCATTTTCTAATAATTGCTCCTACAGTTGATTTCTTCACACCAAGCTGCTTACCTATTGCAGATTCAGTCTTCCCAGCCTGGTGCAGGTCTACAATTTTGTTTCTGGTGTCCTTTGACAGCTCATTGGTCTTGGCCATAGTGGAGTTTTGGAGTGTG